GCTCGCAGTCGGCGCGGTTCAACAAAGGGACATTCATATACCCATTTAACGGAATACTGACGTTGCTTAGAACTCTTAGCTTTTGCAGCCAATACACAATTTTTAATAGTTTCTTGCTGTACAGCGGGTAAATCAAAAATTTTGTCAGTTAAAACTTCATATTTAATTTTAGTACATTGGTTTATTAATTGGGATTTTGAAAAAAAAAAAGATTTTTGTTGTATTTTAAAACTTAAACGATTAATTGCATTAATATTTATTAAAAAATTCTAAAAAAAAATAGTCAAACAGGGAGGTCCTTTAATGTCAAAATTAAAGAACACGCGCACAGTTTTAAAATGAACTCAACACAATCAACATATGCAGAACATTGAATACCCCGTAATCATTAATTCAATCCGAACTACAAAATTTTACATTGGAGTACTAATAAAAGTACAAAATTGAGTTTACTAGAATTTTTGGAAATCAACATCCATGTCAAGAAGGGATTATTGTCAAACGATCAGGTAGAAGTTAACATATCCAAAAGTGTAATTTACACGTTTTAAATTAGTTTCCCCCACCACTTTACAACAATTTTCCTCTATAAATAGTTTATTTTTGCAATTTTTATTTTAATATTCATCTGCCTGATGATGCCACAGTGTGATCAAACATGTCGCAGAGTGTTAAAAGTTTTTGTGAAACCTTTAAGGTATATTCTTTCAATTTAGGATATATTATTTTAAATAAAACACACACTCCGTAATTTATTTGATAAAAACATACTTTTAAGATTAAGTAAATATTATAGGTGTTTGTTAATTCACTAGTGCTGCAGTTGCAACATGCTGCAATGACAACCGTATAATCTGTTAAAGGTAGCATATTATGGATGAGGTGTGAGGAAATCAAACTCTCTCATTCTTCTAATGACACGTTCTATATGAATACATAAAGCAGCGATTCGTTTGTCTTGTAAGACGTCAAATTGTGATAATTTGACTCCTGAATTAACTGAATATGGTCGAATTAATTCAATATATATATTATACTAGCTGACTCGGCAAACGTTGTTCTGCCTCGCTTTTCACGTGCAATTTCTTGTTCTTCTTCAGTCCTTTCATTCGCAATCCTTTGAATCCTAGTTGCATTACGGTTTTGTCGGATAAGATTTGATCGTTTTGGTCGCTGCATGGGAAGCTACGAAGCATTAGTTTTCTACAACCTGAGAAAGAAGCGTTGACCACCTTTGACTTGGGTGGTCTACTATTCCCAGGCGTAGTCCTCGCGTAATCAGGTCGTTCGCCTTCTCGCAAAGACCATTGGCCTGCGGATGGTAAGGCGACGTGGTAACGTGACGCACTCCATGAGCTTCCAGGAAACGCCGGAACGCGTTCGCCACGAAGTTGGTACCCCTGTCTGAGATCAATTGTTCTGGAGGGCCCACGGCGGCGAACACACCCACCTGGCTTAGCACACCCACAACAGTCGCGGTGGTGTTCTTTGGAGTAGGGAACGCCCAAACGTACCTCGAATGATGATCAACCACCACCTGGATATTCTTCGCCTTAGTACGTGCAGCTGCAGCTCCCATGACGATTGTGTCTATTGCCCAGAGAACCCCTGGACCCGGTGGCGAAGCGATCGGCTGAAGTAGCCCAAGTGGTCGGTGGTTAGCGGGCTTCACCAACTGACAAGTCGTGCACCCTCGAACATACGCCTTAATCTGATCGGCGGCACCAGGCCACCAATAATGACCGCCTAAAAGGCGCTGTGTCGGCAACACGCCAGGATGTCCGTGCTCATCGTGGTAGTGTCGGAGAACCTCGGCGCGGAGTGGGGTCGGCACAAACATTCGATTCAGGCCCCGATGGCGATGAACCAGTAGGCCTTCCCGCGTCCGTTGGCAGTCCGGGGGCGGATCAACCAGCAGGTCTTGCTCGCGTCGCAAGACGTCGTCATCGATGAGGAGCGACACTGGCTCTCGTGAGAGGGCGTCGGCTACCTCATTAAGTCGTCCGGGTCGATGTCGAATCGTGTAGCTATACACCGACAAGCGAATGGACCAACGATACAATTTGCTCGACGGGTTCTTCATGTTGAAGAGCCACTGCAGCGCCGAATGGTCCGAGTAAATGTCCACATGCTTGCCGTGCACGTAGACATGGAAGTGCTCCATCGCGCTTAGGACAGCCAGACACTCGAGCTCGCTGGCACTATAGCGACTCTCAGCATCACACAAACGACGGGAGTAATATGCCACTACACGTCGGTGGCCTTCGTCGTCTGGTTGCATCAACACAGCCCCAAGTCCGACGATGCTGGCGTCAGTGAAAAGAACCACAGGCCTGTCTGGACGGTAGATGCTAACCACCGGCGTTGAAGTCAAGGCGTTCTTGATGGCTACAAACGCGGCCTCCTGCTCGGTGCCCCAGAAATCAGTGACGTTGTCGGCAAACTCCTTCCTGGTAAGCCTGGTGAGTGGTTCGGCGACTCGAGCGTAGTCACCGACAAAACGGCGGTAGAAGTTGGCAATCCCAAGGAACCGCTGAAGTGCCTTGACATTCTGCGGCCTCGGCAATGCAGCAACTGCAGCAAGTTTTGCTGGAGCAGGGCGAACCTCCCCTGAGGAGATCACATGGCCAAGGTACTCAACCTCGGACTGCGAGAAATGGCACTTCTCCCGACGAAGGCGGACGTTGGCGGCTGCGAGGCGGGTGAACACCTCCTCCAAGAAGGGCATCATGCTGCCGCTGCGTCGACGCATGAACTATAATGTCATCCAGATATGGAATGACGCCCTTGTTCAGCAAATCCCCCAGAACTTGACGCACGACCCGTTGGAAAGTCGGCGGGGCATTCCGCAGGCCGAATGGCAAGACAAGCCACTCGTACTGACCATCGGCGGTGACAAAGGCCGTGAGTGGCACAGTCTCTTCGGCGACGGCGATGTGCCAATAGCCCCAGGCCATATCGAGGACGGACATGACGCGAGACTCCGCCAACTGATCGATGACGTCCCGGATGTCCGGTAATGGCTCACGCTCAGCAACGGTGACTGCATTGAGAGGCCTGTAATACACAGACGCTTACCACCTGCCTTCTTATCGACAAGAAGAGCGCGTGACGCCCACGGGGACGTGGACTTCCTGATGAGACCCTTGGACAATAGCGTGTTGACCTGGGCGCGGATGGCTTCGACATCTGACTGGGAGTGCCGAAAAGCCTGCGGGCGACGGGTACAGTACCCGGCTCGAGACGAATGTGGTGAGCCACACCGGGTATGCGGCCAACGTCGGTATCCTCGGAAGCGAAAAGCTGCGGAAAGCGTTCCACGATGGTGGCGACACTAGACGGCAGCTGGGCATCTGCCGTGAGGCAGAGCGTCGGTTGTGTTTGGCCAGGGGTCCGTCGGTGGACCGTGAGCTGGCGGAAGTCGATCTTCAGCCCGAAGACTCGACCCGTGTGAAGGCCAATAATCACGTCGCGGGGTGACTTAGCCAGCACGTGGACTTCGACAGAATGACTGTCGTTGCCGATAGAAAGAGAGACGGTGGCGGAACCGTTGCTGACGGTGCGACCGTTCACTTGGGAGACGGCGATTGCGGTGTGCGGACGGGGCTTGACATTCAGACGTCTAGCGAAAGTAGCGCTGATGACGTTGATGGTGCTCCCGGAGTCAACAACGGCCCTGCTGGAGCAACCGTTGACGCGCACCGCAATATCCAGCAGACCTAGTGACGGTCGCCCAGGAAGTTTTCCTGAACAGGAACCGCTTCCTCACATGACACCTGTTGAACCACGTCTTCGGGGTCAGGACGTAACTCGGCGGCGACCATTGCAACCGGTGGCCGGGGCGGCGGCCGACGAGGACACTCTCGATGCCAGTGCCATTGCGTCAGTCCACTATCAGCGCAGATGCGGCACGCTGGCGGGCGCGCCAAAGTGGACGGTGAAGTCAGTTTACCCAACGCGGCTTCCAGCTGCATAGCCACGCGCAACCAATCGACCGCTGTTGGTGTGGTAGCGCACAACAGATAGCCGCGGTAACGCATTGGCATTCCCTCTGTCAGCTGGGCCACCACGTGCGTCTCCCCGATCGCGACCATTCGTAGAAGCCGCAGCTTGTCATTGTAGTATGTCTCGACTGCTTCTGTGGACGCGGCGCTGAGCCTGTACCAGCGGGTCGGCCACTGGTCGGCCAAACCGCGCGACCAACTGTTGTCGGACCTCCGCCCATGTGATGGCAGGGACTCCGTGGGGCTACGCCGTCTGGAGACAGGGATAATAAAAACTTTGTATTTACGTTCTCTTATTCTCCCATAAGATAATCCATATACGCAAATATGTTTGTCTCTTTTAGTGTCGATTAGATTGCCCTTTTGAAAAGTCTTCACTTCAAAAAAGTATCCTATTACCTTCTCTGGCCTAAGCTACCTCTCTACCAATTTTAGCTTCGTTAAGTTTAGCCGTTCTTTAGTTATAAAGAGTTATACTTGACTTTCTTTTGGCTATATCTTGGCATATATATAAATCTCGTGTCACAATGTTTGTCCTCAATCTACTCCTAAACCACTTAACCGATTATAATAAAATTCGCACACCATGCAGTGCCGTAACTAGGGCGGTGCCAGCAGTGCCCAGGCACAGGGCGCAGACCCTGGAGGGGCGCAGAAATGACCAGACTAGTATCTAGTTTTATGTCATGCATGGTAGCTGGTAGGTACATTTTGTTTTATTGCGAACATGATGTGGACACGCCCTACTGTACTATCTATATCAAATTTTTCAAGCGATCTTAAAATAATTGTGTTTTTTTCGAGTTCAACGGTCAGATGGGAAACTTTAATGAAACACTTAAATATTTCTTTGAAAAAACACGCCGACACTAGATGGGCCTCTAAAGCTAGGGCCGTCAAAGCTTTGAACTCGCAAATACCCCAAATCTGGTGTGTGCTAAAGATTCTAACTACCAATGATTACAATGCGGAAACGATCTCTACTGCTAAAGCATAATGGACCAAATTAATTATAAATTCATATGTACTCTCCAAATTTGGGATAAAATTTTGGAATCTGTTGACAAAGTGAATGTAGCTCTACAGTCTAAAATCGACAAAGCTTCTGAACTGATCAAGGGACTAACAAGCCAGATACAAAATATTCGCGAGACTGTAGACATTGTTTTCGAAAAGGCAAAAAGAATTTGTGAACAATGTGACATTGAAGACAATTTTCCTGAAAAGCGACGAAAACGAGTAAAAAGGCACGATTTAAGTGAAAATTTAGACACCGGCTACGACATTAGTCAGCAACAAAGTTTCAAAATTCAGATAAATGAAGCAATAGATACAATCATTTCTGAATTACGATGGCGATTCGAAAAACTACGCGACATACAAAAAACTCTTTCGGTTTTGACCCTTAAACACATTACTACATATTCGGTTGAAGAACTAAAAAAACGTGCAGCTGATTTGAGTATTAAATATTCTGCAGATATAAATAGCACAGAGTTTTGGTCCGAAATAGAAACTTTGAAGAGTCAAGTTGAAGCGACTACATTATTTGATAAATGTGAATGTCAGTCAAGTATGGGTCTTCTCAAAGCTATAGTAGAACTGGATTTAAAGGCAATGTTTCCCAATGTAGTAGTCGCTATAAAGATATTTTTAACGATGCCAGTGACTGTAGCTTCTTGCGAGAGATCATTCAGTAAGCTCAAATTAATAAAAACGTACCTGCGCTCGACGATGGGTCAAGAAAGATTGTCTGGCCTAGCGATTTTATCGATTGAACGCGACATAGCACGGCTCCTGTCATATGAAAATGTAATCAAGGACTTCGCAATGAGAAAAGCGCGGAAAGTAAATCTTTAAGTAATCTTAAAGTAAGGACTGCCTTGGCCTTACTATCGAGTAACTTTGTTTCATTTCTGTATTTAAGCAAATTTTTTTGAATAAACAATTTTTATCTTAAAGATATATAAGTACTAAGTAGGTACTTATATATGTACTTTGGTAAATATTAAATAGATAGATTTATTTGTATGCACATTTGTCCATTTTATTTTCAGAACCTGGTTAGAGCATTGTTCAGGGGCGCAGTTTTGAAAGCTCGCACCGGGTGCATAAAAGGCTAGTTACGCCACTGACACCATGTACAGTTCGATCCAACTTGAGAGATAGGATAGTTTAAATCTCAAATGATAGTCGCAATTTTAATTTATTGCTAATTATTTGTCTGTTATTATTTGACAGTCACAATTATCTGTTAACTCCAAATGATTTTAACAGGTGTCGATACCTTTCGACTGTTATTATTATTAGTTGACAGATAGAAACTCATTTTGACAATAATTATAAAAGTGAATGAATTTGTAAATTTAGAAATGGAAACTGTGAGTTTTAATAATGGATGTGGCACATATAGCTAAAAAAGTCTTTCAGAAATTTGAAAATATTCGTGAAACCATATAGGTACTAGCGGCCCTGTCGAACGTTGTCCCGACTTATCTTTCACGAATATTTTCGAAATTTCTGAAAGACTTTGTATATAATCGCATCAGTAAAACTCACAATTCAAATTCGATACTATAATCGCCATCCAAGCAGTTCTATCTGTCAGTTTACTCCAAGACGATCGCTCACGACAACTGCTCACGGGCAAGCTGCCCACAGTCATAACTGCGCACACGGACAATTGCTCACAGGGCTTTTGCTCACATTGACAATTGCTCACAGGATTTTTGCTCTCACGGACAATTGCGCACATGGACAATTGCTCACTATGTAATTTTTTTTATTTTTATTAAAAACAATGAATAATAATTAAAATAATAATAATAATAATAATAATAATAATTAAATAAATGCAATATTTAAGGAGATTGGCAAATTTACAATTATTCATATATTAGTTATTTAATTACGTAATTATTAAAAATTATGTGTGAGTAATTGAGTATACTAGAAGTGAAACTTCAAAGAGTTATATTTATTGCTAATTAATTAAGATAGACTGAACAAATAGTTTATTTGAAAAATGAAACACTATTACCGTGCTAGCGAGGCCTCTTAATTGTTATATATTTGTATATAAATTATTTGATAATTATTATTCATTGTTTTTTAATAAGTATAAAAAAAATTTGATAATGAGGAATTGTCCATGTGCGTAATTGTCCGTGTGAGCAAAAGTCCTGTGAGCAATTGTCAATGTGATCAAAAGCCCTGTGAGCAATTGTCCGTGTGCGCAGTTATGACTGTGGGCAGTTGTCTGTGAGCAGTTGTCGTGTGAGCGATGGTCTTGGAGGCAAATGTCCGGTCACGTATTAAATGACGTGCGAGAAAATTTCATAATATCGTATTTTATAAATATGTTTTAACAAAACAGGGAATCATAAAAGGAATCAAATAAACTCAAGGAATCAAGTGATTTGTTTATTTTATTTATATTTACGAGAAGGAAGTGAGATATAAACTTAAGAGCTGCCATAGCTCAAAAATAGTATGTTTTGTTAGTTCTGAACAAGCGTTAATTGAATTAAGCTACCTAACAATTCTATAGGAACACGAGTGTATGTTATTATTGCGCATAAAAATGAAGATGATGAACAGAAGCACAGTGAGTCTGGTGAATGACTCAATGCACTTAAATCTCAAAATTGATTAATACTCCTTATAATTTAACATTTGAATTATTTCTGAGAAAGCAGTTTCAAAATACATTTTAGAACAATGATGAATTCAAGTACTTTCACAGAAAAATGCTGATTGATAAGATAAAAAAAAATGTATAAAATCTCGCAGAGTTTTGTATAATTTCGTATATAAAATATATTATTCAACAGTTTGAGAATATCCATCGTAGTTCCAAATGAAGGGTATGTATTTATATTTTAATAAGTAACCATTTTGAATGCATCACTATATTTTCGGTCGTAGTGGTTTTTCAATTCGTGGCTGCTTGCCTACTGATCCAACTCGTCCTAGCGGTAAAACAGTCGAATGAGTGCGATGAACTTTGCCAGGAGTTTCCCACAGGTCATAACATAGCCTATCCACCTGATTGCACCAAATTCTGTCTTTGTGGAAATGATGGAAACTTGTTAAAAGATTGCCCTCCTGGACTAGAATTTAATCCTGATCTGGAAGTATGCGACTGGCCAAGTGGTTTTTGTTAGCATTGACAGCATTAATAGAAAGTTTAAAAACCCCGTCTCACAAATAACTTTAATGTCCCGATGCGCATTTCGAAGGCTAAGCCTTCCTCTTCAGGCGAAGGAATTTTAAAACTGAACTAAAATTGCGTCTAATCCCTAATTTACCTAAAAATTCTTAATCCCCTGTTTTACGCTAACACAGTAAAACTTCTTGTCGACCCTCAAAATTACTTGCAAACACTCTCAGAAATGCCCTGGAAATAAAAACTGTTTAAAGTCATTAAAAATATCTAATGAAAATTGATCTTTATTGGATGACTTGGGTTCGGTTTTTATATGCCTTTTTTACTATTATACTATATATATTGCAAAAGTCATACTCATGTCCCTTAAAATAGAAACATGATCATAAATAAGATAAAATACTAACTAACAACTATTTACTATTTACTATCGCTAAATTCTGTATAATTCAACAGTAAAAATCCAAGGAAAGCTCAAAAGTCGAATATGAAGAACAAAAAAAGGAAGAAAAAAAAAAAAACTTTCAAACAGAATTTTGTTGCAATAATATAATTTAATGATTATACAATTCTCGTGTCACAGTTTTCGTAACCAAACTCTTCCGAAACAGCTGGGTTTATTTTATAAAATTTCGTTTTTATGTATATTTATTTAATAGAATTCATAGAATATCTCAACAACCCGTTATTTCGAAAATTAAGTAATCTAGAAATTTGATCTTATATAATAAATTGAGCCTCTTAAATTACTTTGATAAAAAATATTATATCAGAAAGTAAATCAATATGTAACCCAATAGCAGTTGAGTGTCGATGGAAGCAAATTTACCTCCAACTGATAGTTTTTAGAGGTGAGGAGGTAAAATTGCTTTAATGTGAAATGGAATTTGAATGCCGGATGGTGATTTATTTTCAATAATAAGTGTAGGTTCTGAGAAATCGTAAAACGCAAATTAAAACATTTATTGATTAGATTAAAATTAATTAAGCATTTTAGAATTGTGTGCAGCGTACATCGCCCGGTTTAGAATACTGGTTCCTTTTCGTATTTTTTTGCCTTCTTTTGGTCAACAGTCGCTTCTAATATAACTACTTTATTGTTTAAGAGCTGGTTCGGATAAAACACTGGTCTTCTTGAACCTTTTGTGCCGAATACGTATAATAGTATTATAATAATATTATAATAATATTTTTCCGTAGAAACTACTAGGCTTTTCCTGGGAACCCGTTTGAAACTACGTTTGTTCACTGTTTTTTCATATGATATCAGGCAGGTTGCGTAAAGTTATAGCAAGAGGGTTCTTGTATATCTTTGGGGAATTTGCGCTCGCACTAGGTGATGAGAATTTAAAGGTTGTACACGAGGCAGCAGCAGCGACAACGTTGATCTGTTGACCCGTTTTGACTGAAGGTCAGCATTTCATATGGTCTGAGGGTGCTTGTACGTGAGCAATTGCTGTACGTAAGTTCCGCCCTGTGACTAAAGCCTGTAAAATATTTTTTAAATATTATAGAGTACAGTAGGAATCCAGTTATAATGACATCGAAGATTGACTTCCGACACGTCATATTAAGCGGATAAATCATACAAAGCGTTATGTGAGAATAAGAAACCCTTTTTATGTAAATGTACATATACGAAGGTACATACATATTAAATCAAAATCAAAATTCACGTAATCAATACATTATAACACATACAAATTGTATTTTTACTACCGAAATGAAATGTAGTTTTGTCTGCTTTTGTTTTTCATTTAATTAATTTTCTTTGTGATTTTCAGGCCTCTTCGGTTTCCGAGCAATTTTAGATTGGACTTGATTGCTTAGCTACGGTTCTTGTTTTAAAAACATTGAGATTGTCAGATGGCCGCGGGAGATTTCCTTTGCAGAGACGCTTAGGTTAGATTCTCCATTTTCTAATCTGCGTTAATTACTTGCACAAGATTCAAGAACAAAACGGGCCAAGTGCCGAACGTCGTCGGGAATCAACGGAATATTACCGGAGGTGTAAAAAGGAATCATGTTGGTCGATATAGCCGGACGCAATCTGTAAAATGGGTCGCCAATAAGTGACATGTCACTTTAAGAAATCCATTATATCAACTTTTTTATATACGAATTTTATATGAAACCAAACTTCGTAGTGTAGTTACGTCATAATAACCGGTTGGTCAATAAAGGCTTGGAGTCACTGTGAAACGGATTCTTCACCTTTAGTATTTTACTCACGGCTTTGGCTGCCCGTATTTAATTCAAATCTTTGTGTCTAAAATTCATGGTAAAAGGGTGGAAGTAGAAAAAATATTTATACTAAGGCATTGGCAAATATACTGTAAAAATAAAATTAAATTGTCTATTCATGGGCTTAGTGGTTTTGATAAACCTATAGTATTAATAATCATTATGAATTAGCAATATATTGTGCTTTTGTTAGATAACGCTTGGTTTATTTAGTTAAATAAAGTTAGGTACCTCCGGCAGCAAAAAATGCTTTCAACATTTTCCTCTGATGTGATTTTGTATTTTCCCATTCCCACTAATTTTATAATAAATATTATCATCTCTGTTGTGACGATGACGATTATGGCTATCCATAACTGAATATAAGTAATATAATTTTTTAAACTCCTTTCAACCTTTTTATTATTTATTGTTTGTTATTTATTTGGTCTATTTAGCTTCTACACTCACAGCATGTTTCTTTTGCAACGCCATGCACTCTATCCGATGTCTGCAAGGAATAAACTATCCTGCAACGGACCAAATAAGACCACATATAACAACTACTATCTACCAATGTCCTTTTATTTAAAATAATCTGCACACATTGATAACAAATACTTTTTGTTTGTAGTTCGTTTTCAAATTGTGACTGTCTGCCTATTGGTCCAACTGGTCTTTGCTGTAGAAGGTAGGTACAATTGGATCTGTATGCGATGAATTTCCAATATTTATTCTCAATAGTTATTACGCAGTTGCGCTATCCTGGTGAATGTTTCAAATGTTGTGATTGCCAAATCGATGACAACTGGATGAAAAATTGCTTTTATGGCTTTCATTTTAATCCTAAATTGCAAGTTGATGACCTGCCAGAGCGAGTTACATTAAATGTCTTCATTAAATTTATGTTCATCTTATTCATACATTTTTTATTTTTCTATGATGTTTTGTAGTAGCTACGATTCAACGGTTAAGTATATTTATTTCTGAGTAAAGTTAAGTAAACACTTACTGTACGCTATACCCTCACAATATCGCCAAAACGATATTTTTACTAAACCATTGCAAGTCAATGCAAGTATTTGTCAAGCCTGATGTGGATAGCTATTTCGACCATTAGAGGTCTCATCAGCATATTTATTTCGTAGAATTGCTGTCGCAACAACACGTTATTTCAAGAATTAGGAAATCTAGGAATTTTATCATTTATACTAAAATGAGACTATTAAATTACTTTGATAAAATTATTATATAAGAGGATTGATAAATATGTATGTAGTACAGTGTCGATTCAACAAATTTGCTTGTCTAACAATTTTTAGAATTGAAATACTCAAGTTCAAAATGATTTTTAGGTTGATACATGTCATTTATACTATTTATTCATTAAATCTTAACTGTTTCACTACCAGACAACTAGTCCTAAGTTTTTCGTGGCCAATTATATCTATAGTCTACAATGCGATGTGTACGACAAACATTTTATTTGAGAAATATGTATTTTCCAATACAATTTACACCCCAAAATATTAAAATGTATTGTTTACTAATATAGTTTAAAAATATTTATTTATTAAATTTCTACGTGATTTTTTACTGGATTTTACAATTTTATATAATGAGTTAGATATGTTTCGCCCTGAGGGCATCTTCGTAAACAAGATTTATGTATCGATGCGTGTGTATGTCGGGGTGATCCTGGCGAACAAAATTCGTTTTGTGCATCACTATGTTGTGCATGTGGATGCCGTCGTGTATATCGCCCAGCGTGTTGTATACCTTCTATGAATCCAAGCCATTACCTCACCGTACCTCACCTTACCTTACTCAACCGCCCACCGTGCAAGTAAGCTTGATTGTATTAAATTTAAAAAAAAAACTAATTCTTTGTTTTGTATTGCTAAAAGTAGTAAAAGCTCGATGAAGTGCTGCTCAGTGGGAGTTTCCTCTCACCACGTAAATTTTTGTAGGTGCTCCCGTAGCACTCGACGCTTAACTCCCTGTCTTCTGCGCAGCATCCCTTTTAATCGTAACCAGAACGATTCCACACCCTGTGTGTGTAGGTCGGGATGTTCCGGGCTAACGAAATTTGCTTTATGCACCACTGTGTACCACTGTATACCGACCATGAATCGGTCATCATGGTGGTTCCGGGGAGTATATGCCTGAAAGTGAATTTGTTCCTATTAAATCGTATAATATTTTCCTTCCCCACACCCCACACCCACACGCAAAAGATACTCTGAACTAAGTCAAAACCATACCTTACTGAACTGCCCATATCCCAACCCCAATATAACACTAATTTTCAGTCTAATAGTAATTCGTGTAAGACACGTGAGTACTTACTCTTTTATTATTGGAAGAAGTCATCTTATAATTTTCACGATAATAACATGAACTCTCTGATTCGCACAAAGCTTTGAAGAATAGACATGAGCGCTTTGTCTCTGGAAAAGAAAATTTAAAAAAAGAATAAAACAAAAATATAAATAAATACCAATCAAACTGTACGTACTTATAATTCGTAGAGCACGTGGAATTGTTTGAAACTGGAGTTGAAACAAATAGAACCATTTATTTGTTTGGATCTCTTCTTTCATAAATTTTTGAATTATTTTAACTATGTCATCATAAACCTGATTGTGTCTCCGCTTGAATGCCAGCTCCATTGCCCGCAAACCCACAATCATTAATTTTTGATACAGGAAAGGAATGCAACGAAACTTTTTTAAATTTAACCTCAGAACGTGCTTAATACAAATTTTGATGGTGCCCATAATGACATGTACAATTTTTTCAGTATGA